TCCCCCCCGCCGCCCCCCCGGGAGCCCCGGCCCTTATCTGGCTCCGCGCTGATCTGGGGCAGCTGCGGCGGCCGCGGCGTCTCCGGGCGGCACGGCAGCGCCGCGCGTTCCCGCCGCGCATTCCAGCTTTTATCTGGAGCATCGGCTCTGTTTGCTCTGCAGGGCTGGGCGCCGGCGCCTTGGGCGTCCTGGCAGCCCCCCGGCTCTGCAGCCCCCCGCCCAGGGCGCGTTGCAGGACATGTTCCCACATCCCGCTCCTCGGGCTCGGAGCAAAGACCCTTCCAGCCCCTGGAAAAGCATCCAAGGGGGCCCGCAGACGGGAAGCACTTTGGCCCCCCCTTGGCACGGATGCGCCTTTGTGCCTGCGCTTGGTGTGGCACGGACACGGATCTGCAGGGAAACGCGGCTTTTCCAGGGAAAACCTTTGCACCAGCGTGCACCTTCCTGCACTTGTGCCCGGGGTGCAGGAGGCAGTGCTGCCGGGCACCGCTCGGCCGCAGGCGCCTTCCCGGGAAGCGCAGCCTTTCCGCAGGGCGGGCTCCCTGTTTACCCTGGCTGTGCCCAGCCCTGCTGTGTCCTTGGCCCGGCGGGGGTGCGGAATTCCAGCAAAACCCCACGTTTTATCCCCAGAAGCCTCATTCCTGCAGCGTTGATCCCTGCGGCTCCCTCTTAGGGCGCAGCCTCCTCCTTTCCTCCCTTCTCACCCTTCCTTCCCTGCTGCCGGACACCTGCTTGGCCTGTGCCGCTTCCCACCTCCGAGCGCTCCGGGCCGCTCCTCCCGGCAGCCGGAGCGCCGGTTGGACGAGTTCGATTCCCTGCTGCTCCGGCTGGGATCCTGCCTCCCTCCCAGCCCCGGGGTCCAGAGGGGTCTGTCTGGCAGATCCCGGGGTCCCAGCAGGGACGGATCCCAGGATCTGGGTGCTGCCTGATCCCGGGGTCCTGACAGTGACGGATTCCGGGATCCAGGTGCTGGCTGACCCCTATCCCAGAGGTAATTGCTAGCAGTCTCCAACCCCGGGAAGCAGAGCTTGGCCGGGCTCGGGATCCCCGCGGTATCCGACGCTGGGATGCCGGGATCTGGGACCCCAGCAGGGCCTAATCCCACGATCCAGGTGCTGCCCGAGCCCAGGGTCCGGCAGCGCCTGCAGGGACAGACCCTGCGCCGGCCCCTCCAGGCCCCCGGCGCCTCCCTGCGGGATCCTTTGCCCATCCCGGCCCCTTATCGGCCGCATTCCTGCCCGGAGCGGCCCTGACCCCCAGCACGTCCCGTCCAACGGCTCCGGGGGCGGCAGATCAAAGGCCTCTCACTGATAAGGTCCCTCCGTGCCCCTCGGCCCCGTCTCCACGCACGGCTCTTGGGCGCAGCCCTGAGATCCTCCCCGTTCCGGAAAATCCCTGGAAAAACCGGGCGGGAGCGATGGATCCCCCTTCCCCCTGCAGAGCGCGGCGGGGGGTCCCGGTGCCGGGGGGCCATGGCTCAGGACCCGGCGGTCCCAGCGCATTCCCGGGCAAGGGAGCTGCAGCCAGTGCTGTTCCCGGTGGGAATTCCGCCCCCCCTTCCCGGGTCCTACTGGGAGGGGCCGCGGCAGCCGCGTTCCCAAGCAGCCCTGCTTGGACTGCAAACACAGGAGCAGCGGGACGCGGGAAGGGCCGCACGGAGCCGCAGGTGGCCCGGCCCGTCCTTGTCGCCGTCCTTGGCCCCGTCCTACGTGGGGGTCCCTTAGGGGCTTGTTCCCAGGTGCAGGGAGCCGCCGTGGGGTATCCCATCCTGATGCCCTGGGGTATCCCTGATCCCTCCGTGCATTCACAATCCCTCCAGGCATCCCCAATCTCTCCGGGTTCCTGCGCGCCCGGGTGCAGGACGGTTCCCGGTTCCTGCCCGCCGGGGTGCAGGACGGTTCCCGGTTCCTGC